TTCGAGTGTAGAAATATAACATTACACATCTACTGCTTTTATTTTGAAGTGTGTTTTTTTTTTATTTCTGTTACATTTTATTAAGGATTTTGGGGCAGAAATATTTAGTTTACTAAAAAAAAAAAACCAATAGATGGATGGTTTGTAAAAGAAACACAACCTTATTTAGTTTTGTTTATTCAAATCAATAATTTGCAATGTGGCAATCATGTTCTCAGTAGCAGGAAGTTATCATGTAACAAGTTTTTTTTTTATTACAAGAGCCTGCCAATCACTGTAGCCACATAGAAAGAGAAAGAGGTTAGTTTATGTTTGAAGAGTAGACAGTGTCACTGAGGATTATGGAAACTAAATAATCCTAAATTAGCTTGTTTCAGTGTCTAAAACAAATATTTTTAAGCTTCATAACCTTCATTTTAATATTAAGTTGTCAACAAAGTCTGAGTTTGATTTGAGGCATTTTTAGAGTTTGACTAAAGGATCTGAAAACTAGCATATTAAAACACCTTGAAATTAAATGGTTGTAATACTTTTTCCTTAATATTTGTCCATGAAATTATCCTGTTTATTTCAGTTCTTGTCCTTAGTTATGAAAACCTTCAAACTGAACAGTTTGCACAATTCTTCCTGGGATCAGAACCTTTAACCTATATTTTCACAACTCTCTCTATCTCTCTTGTTGCCCAGTGAAGTTCTGGGAACAGAATTACATTCAGTGGATCTGATTCATTCGTTGAAAATAATTTCCTAATCTGGGTTTCACCACTGCTCATTTATTGCTGAATTAAAAATCCAGAATAAAGCAAGGAGGATTTATTTGCACTCAAAATATTTATATTTTTTATTTTTTACAGCTGTCATGTTTTACAAGAGTCCCTCTTGAGCTCAACCAGCGGCTACAGCAACTACAGAGGAATTCTGAACTGGTGTGTTGTCATGCTGGTGGGTAAACCTGTGTGCTTTTATTTCTCTAACACACAATGCAGACGGGAGCTGTCCTGTATCACATATTGGGTAAAGAGTGCAGGATTTGTCAGTCAGTGTTGTGCTTCCAAATATAACAACAATTCGACCACATTTTAAAGGTGCAACTTTTTACAAAGTAAGAGTTCCTTTCAAAATAAATGAAGGAATAAGCTGCAGATATATACTGTGTTCTGAGTTCGGCTGTGTAGTGTTTGTCATGCATTTTGCATTAAGTATTTTTTTGCATGATATTTAATTATGTTTATCTTGAACCAGTGTTGGTCTTTCACTGTATCTGAATTAGACCCAGACAATAATTACAATATTATGCAGATGTGATGTTTCAGTTTCTGTGCGCCCACCTTCTAATCTGCTGTTCTGTGACAAGATTATTCTCATCTTTGATTTTTTTTANATATTTAAATTTATTGCAGAAAATTGCATATACGAAACTCTGCTGATAATAAATGCATGTTGACATTTTGCCATTGTTCTGGAAAGGTTTCTAATTTGACTTTTATTAAGTGTCACAACACTGGAAGACAGTGATTGCAAACATGACTATAATATGTCAGTGTTATTACATGTCTTAATGCTGTGTCTAAAGTTATGAATGGCTTCAACAAAACATTGAATTATGACACAGACGTRACTCAGTGAACTGTTTCTATTTTTCCTCCACCAGGCTGCAAGCTGTTGTTTTCCGAGCATCTTTGCTGCCAGGCTGCCACGCAGACAGRATCTGGAGCTTTGTTTTACTTTGAAACCACACAACAGTGGACTGTAARCTGGGTAGGAAAAGCCGCAGATAACCCGAGAGATTAGTCTTGTCCACAATACTGCAGAGTAACTGTAATATTAGCTGTTAAAATTTGATTTAGCTTCAGTCTACGACTTTTCTAAAAACGGAAATAAAAATGTATGAGGGGTCTAATTAGTTTAAATGAAACGATGCCAGTTTAAAAGAAAAGTTTCTTGGGCTAAGCTACCTGTTTCGCTTCTGGTGACAGCTCCATTCTCATGCACGCCAGCTCCTCCGTTTTGTTCCTTCCTCTTCTGTTTTCTCATATCCTTTAAAAGCAGACTTCAGGATGACAGCGTTGGTATTGGTCCATAGGTACCAAAAAAAAAAATGGACCAAAAGTGTAAATAAACAATATTTTTCTACAACGTCAGCTGTCGCTCCCACAGCTGTCACCGACTGAATCAACCTACCCAGCCAGCGCTTCCTGTTGTGCTACGATTGGAGAGAAATGTCACGTGACATTGTTCTATTGGCTGATGACTCACTTGTTCTGCACCCTAACTTGATTGTAGTTTTTGTAGTCCTGTCGGCCTTCTGTCACGTTTTACTCTATTTATAACACCTATTCACACACTTTAAATTGATCGTGACCAGAAAATCACAATGATTTTCATAACTGTTCAAATAAAAGACAGAAAAGTTGTTTCCTAAAAGCTATGAAAGAATCATTTGTTTGTTAAACATAAAATATTTTCACTTGCAAGGGAAACTTAAAATGTTTGCATAATTATAGAACTTGTTTGAACATACACTATTGCCAAAAGTATTTGCTCACCCATGCAAATGACCGTACCAATGCACAAAGCAAGGGCTGTAGACATGGATGTCAGAGTCTGGTGTGGGTGAACTTGACTGGCCTGCACAGAGACCTGACCTCAACCCAACAGAACACCTTTGGGATGAATTAGAGGGGAGACAGAGAACCATCAGTATGTGACCTCACAAATGCAACAAGAATGGTCCAATACCCCCATAAACACTCTCCTAAACCTTGTGGGCAGCCTTCCCAGAAGAGTTGAAGCTGTTCTAGCTGCAAAGGGTGGACCAACGTCATATTGAACCCTATGGATTAGGAATGGGATGTCACTTAAGCTCATATGTGAGTCAAGGCAGGTGAGCCAATACTTTTGAGAATATATTCAGTAAGTAGAAGTGTTGAGAAACTTGTACCTTTTTACTGACAAATGTCTTCATATTTGGAAAATGTTAAAGGTTTATTAGCAGCAACATTAAGAAATTAGAAAAAAAAAGGAGTGAGATAAAACAATATTAAATAGAAGTTCACAACATTTAAAGCCTCTTGAATTTTATGCACAACTTTATTGCACAGGCTGAAGAGGAGTGAGCCAACCGCAAGACTTTAAATTTGCCAATATTCATTCCCAGAGGTCTTTGGGGTGGGAGGTCAGGACATATTAGTGGCATTAAATTCAAGAAATTAACCAYGCTTGTTCAAATCAAGAACCAATAAGGAGTCTATTAGAGCAAAAATTCCCAAATTTTCAGCTTATGACCCACAAAAGAACAGCAGCAAAGACCTGTGCCCAGTGTTGTATAAAGTACCTCAAAGTGWTACTTGAGTAAAAGTACAAGTATCTTATCATAAAAATACTTTGGTAAAAGTTAAAGTCTTCTCTAAAAATNCAGAATGTGTAGTGAAGACGCGTGCATCAGGACGTGTAGTGAAGACGCTTGCATCAGGACGTGTAGTGAAGACGCGTGCATCAGGAGGTGGTGTGGAGATGCTGGCCTTGTCTGGGACAACTGTAGATGAATCCACAGCGCAGTCTGGAAAACATCAACAACATTAAAATGTACACAGTCTTCGCATAGTTGAAACAGTAAAGTGTCACTTATTTTTGTAATTTTTGTTTAACATTGTGAGGAAAAGTTTCTCATTCAACACTTTCACACATCACATGCCCTTGTGACATGACTTTGAATAAGGGAGATATAATTAAAGTATGGATGATTTTGATTTATTGAAATCAAGTTGGCATACTAAAAGTGACTAATGTGGTAAGACTTACTTAGGGTTTCAGGAGTTCTGATAGGATTTGCTGTTCCTTCTCCCTTCTTGAACTTGGGAAAAAATAATCTACATGGGCTCTCCAGATGAGGTAGTTGCCTGCAGACGTACATTTTCATTGAAATGCATTGCAGCCAGGTACAGTCTGGTTAAAATAGCATAAAAGAATATTACATGTTAGTTTGAAGTTGCACCATTAAAACTCATCTAACACACAGTATTTTGAATAACGAAAAAAAACATAAATACAGTGACTAAAACAACACTGCAGCCGATATTTTTTGGCCAACTCTTGAAGCCGATACTACTTTTTCTCCCTCCCTCCATTAACATGATAAAAATAAGAATGATAACAAATGTTACACAAGTCTTAATTTAAAATAAAACAAACCAAAAAAACTTTTATTAACTAAACCTTTTCTGAAGAGGCTGTATAAATTGCTGCCACACAGGATTTCTTCTTTCAGCCCTTTCTTTAAATTAAAATAAATAAATAAATTCATTATTTATTTTATCTAAGGCTAAATAATCTGTTTTTATTTGTATATTCATAAGATTAATATATTTTGTTACATAAAATGACTGTTCCCAGCTTTTGTGATGCAAAAACAGCAGCACGCCTAAATAAAACTCAGAGCACCTGAGAGAAAAAAGGAGAGACACACATCCATCTTGCTATCCTTTTGAGGACTTCACACACACAGTGCTCACAGCTTCTCTGCCTCATTCTGCTGCTCCCGTTTTTAACACCAGGCAAAAAATGCGTTTAAAATAGCTGACGTTAACTTTAGATCACAGTTTGAAACGTTCCAGCAGTTTTAAAAAGAAAAACAACGCGGACACACTGATTACAGTGCGGGGTGAAAGTAAAACATGGTGCTGAGCACCCGTTCGAAAAAGAAACAGCTGTTCTTTCTTCCCTCATATTCCGACACAGAGGGTAGAAACAGCTACATTAGACAGTTAAAACACATTTAGAGTTCATAACTCACCCTTGTTGTTGTAACATTCATCCTGTGTTGTCCTCAAGCACTTTCCGCCCTGTTATGGGTACATTTCCTTGAAAAATAAAACTTAACCAGGCACTTTGAAGAAGCTCTGATGCTGGTA